ATATTTCATTTCTTTTAATAAATACTGTTATGTGATTTATAGCAAATATATCAGTAATATTACTTTTTAAATTATATTGGAAAAAAAAACTTTAACAATGGACCGAATTATTATGTTCATATTATAGTCTAATCTAACTAGAGCCTTTGAAACATATCAATAACAGTGAAGTAGAAATATATAGTAACTCCTTAACATACAAAAATTGCTATTTTAGTTTGAAAAATTACATGACTATCCAACTGTTTAGATAATTGCTTTTTATTTGATAAGAATTTTGCATTTTATAGTATAAATAACAACAATTATAAATAAAATTTTGATCATGAGTTAATTAACTCTTTTTCCAAAAAAAAAAATAATTAAATTAAATCCCTTTTTAAGTGATTGCTTTTGTTTGCTATATCTTTTATGTTTGCTATATTTAGTCGTTAGTCCATCTTCAAACATCTTGTGACAAATCCTATTTTTTCTTCTTTGCAAGCACAGAATGTAAGTTTTGAATATATTCCCTTCCAGGTTCTCTGATGTTGTAACACTTACATATACTAATAATCGTCGTTAGAAAAACAGTCACCTTTATAGTAACTAATTAAAAAAAATTTATTTCTTACTAGAATCGCGATAGTTGATCTTAAAATTGCGTGAATATGAATAACAATTATGGATTTTGAACTCACATGGATATGAAACTAGATATACGATTTTGAAAATGAGAAAATACAAACTGGGATATAGAATTTTTAAAAAGCGTAAATACAAATCACGATTCATAATTTTTAGATCGCGTAAATACGAATCATGATGCGTAATTTTTAGATTGCATAAATAAGAATTATGATGCATAATTTTTAGAATGCGAATCCCAACGGCTCTTTTTAAAATCACGTATAAATACGAAAATCAATGTTTGATATTATAAACCGCATGAGCAAATCAAGACCTTGAATTTTAAACTTGCGTGAATACGAATCACAATATCGGATTTTTAAATCGCGTAAATAAGAATCGCAGCGTACAATATTCAAATCGAGTGAATAAGAATCGCAACACGCAAATATGAAAAGCCATGTTTGATATTAAAAGCGTGTGATTAAGAATCGAGATATTAGCAGATTCCAGGCTTGGGAACCCTAAAGGGCTTGTCACAAAAATCGGATCTATCTGGAGGGCGGGTAAAAAATTCGGAAAATCTTATCTGCTGCGAGTTAAAGGGGAGAAAATAGCTAAAATAAGTAAAAATGAGAAAGGATTGGTAGCTATGTAGTTTGAATTTTCTGTTACTCTTTGAAAATCGGTGAATTTTCAGAAAAAGCGGAATACTTATTAAAAAAAGTGAAATTTTTAGAAAAATCTGAATTTTTGATAAAAAAGCTGAAATACAAGAGATAAAAGTGAAAAAGCGGAAAAATCTCATCCCTGAAAGTACTACAATAATAATATTGCTAAACAATATTTCATAACAACAGACTGTCTTATAATCTATGTGTAATTCAGTCCTATATTATTACGCCCAAATCTAATTTTATCTATGGCTGTTTTGTATGGATGGAATTCTTGTTCCATTAAAATAGGTTAGATTTTGTCTGGGTGAGATTATGGTCCATATCGGAATTGGAATTTCAGATAACCCAAACAAGCAACTATCACGATTAGGTCGTGATAGTGGGAATGAATTTGGAGTTTGGAATCAGTTACTTAGTTTACTAAAAAAGGGTTTGATTAACGATTACTAGATAATACAAAATAAATATGCTTAAATATATTATGTAATGCTTTAGAAAAAAGTTATTTTCTTACTGTCCAGCCTCTATGTTCTAACTCTGAGATGCGTCGAAATATCTGCTGGACGGATCTGGGTATCATTCCAAGATGGGTTTCACTCTCAGATGACGAAAAATCCACAATATTTTCTGGTCCTTCCATAGTATAAGTTTTTCCAGACCCGGTTTGACCATATGCAAAAATACACACATTGTAGCCATCAATAGCTGATTGCACAAGCTGTGAAATCTCTTCAAATACCTCGGCTTGAGGGGAAGATGGCGGAAAAACACAGTCAAAAGAGAAGTCAGATTTTTTCTAAAGCAAAATAAACCTTTTAGTTTAAAAGCTATACATTTTGTTTTCAAATAAAAATTTAATTAAATAACTCTTCATGTGCTAAAATAAGATTCAGAATATGAAGTACATAAAAATGCAACCTATTTCAATAAATGAAATTCATTAAATACATAAAAATACTAATAAAGTGAATGGATCATAGAAATATAACAGCACACATCAAAAACCTTGATTTGTCTAAAGTTCAATTTACTATTAGCTTCGGTATTTACTTTAAGAACAATTAATTAGTTTTTTTTCACCGGGTTCATACCGTTTAAAGATTTTTTTTCCTCTCTATTCTGTTAAAGAAAAGGTTTAAGGGAAATTAATTATTTCAATAAATATATTTATTGGATTTCTATCCATATCATGAGTAAAATTAAATACATCGCCCAAGTAAAGAGTTCAACAGTTACAGTCGTACATACATTTTATGTGATACACATCTTTTAAGCTAACTCTAACAGCTAATGATAAACACAAAATTCATTCAGAAGTTGCAACAGGTTTCAAACAGGCCAGACATTTTGTCAAGAAAAAACCAATTTCTTCCAGAATAGAAAATTAAAGAAATAGAAAAAACTGAAATAAACTAGACAAAATGGGAGAAACTAAAAATGACCACTACAGTTTGTTAAGCAGTGAGTATTAAAAGGATAACTTAAGTTAAAATTTATATTTTATCAAAAAGAAGAAAAAAGTTCCTGATATCTACTTTTAAAGAAAAACTATTTTCTAATTTTTACAAAATTTTAAAATCAATTTATATTGTTTAAGAAACAGTTTGAGCATTCATACTTGACATTGTTTGATTATAAAAATTAGCAAATAATTTAGTCAATTAAGGAGTATTAATAATATTTGATCAAGATATTTTAACAATTCCTTCATAATTTAGTTTTAAGTATTGGGAAACTACAATTATTTTAATTTTTTGAAAATTTTAGTTATCTTTTCAATAGCTGCTTTTTAATTTTCACATTACTTTTTTAATAATGATACAAAAAATAGTTTGGAAATTAACATTATTATTTCAACTAAATTGCAATTCATTTAAAAAAAATGTTTTTATATTCAATACTTCTATTTCAAATGAAGTTTCATCTACCGGGGTAAAATCTCTTTCCTGGTTGAGGTTAATATTTAGCAATAGAAGGTGGAATAAGATGTTTTAAAAATAAAAATTAGTCGTTATAGGATAATTAAGATAAATTTAAAGAGAGAAGGGTTGGAACTTTATAAAAAATGAAGGTATATAGAATGAAATTCAAAAGATTTTATACATAGATTTTTGAAAATTTTCATAATCAGTAAAAAAAGAAAAATTATTAACAAATAACTACTAGTGGAAATTTATTGGCATTAAGTGGCCATGAATATAACATATATTTTCTAGTGAATACGTAATTACCATCTTCCTTTTGAATAGTAAAAAATTTTGAGTTTATTTTAGAATTATAATATATTCTATAATTAATTTAAAAATAAGTTATGAATAAAAAAAACTTAAAATGTTTAAAAAACAAACCACACAACATTTTTAATTTAAATGCTTTAAATGAGGAGCACTGCAGCAATATTATTTTAAATTGAATAGAAAGATAGATAATCAAGTTTCCTTTTTTAAAATACATATATGTTGTAGGCTAATTAGAAAAATGCAGCGGTTTGCAAACTAAATTTAAAAATATTTTTTGTATTGTTTTATTAATCTTATGATGCTAATATAAATTTTGTTGTCTGTATGTGTAAGACCTAAATTTTCAAGAATATTCTTTACCTAACATGACATCGTAAGAGTCTGAGATACATTTGGACTTTCAAAGATAACAAATTGTGCTACTAATTTAAAGAAAAGAAATTTCTGCCACATCGTTTTAATTATATTAGAAACAATTATTATTCTATTATTAATCAAGTAATACATATAAAAATTAATAAAAAATAAAAATGTAACAAGGAAAATTATATTTTTTTTACGCAATCATTCAATTCTTATTAATTTTCAGTTTTGTATAAATAGACTTTAGGCAAGTAGTATAATTATGTTACAAAAATTCAAGTAAAAAATTTCAAATAAAAATTTACAAGAAAAAGTTTGAATTAACGAAAAAAAAAAAAAAAAAAAAAAAANAAAAAAAAAAAAAAAAAAAAAAAAAAAAAAAAAGCTTAAAACTTACTTCAATTTTATTGCCTTCTGATATTTGGAAAATTTCAATCATTTTTCGATTTGGAACAGATATATCAGCACATACCATGCCATTTCTCATTTCCTCATCTAATGGTGGTCGCATTCTACAAAATACTCGAATGTTGCCCTAAAAAATTGCCAAAAATAAATAAGTAAACTTTGAAGTTTGCAAACCATTATTAGAGAAAAGATGCAGGTTCATAACAAAAGGCAGAATTAAAAATTACAAAGAAAAATCTATTTGTTTTAAAATTACTCATTGGTTACTTACTATTATTGCATATTTTAATATTATTTTCAATGTTTATTGCTGTATTTTCAAGGTTTCCGCTAAAATTACACGTTTTAGCCAGATAATTATGTAACACCATAATTTCCAGGATATAATCCGCTACCCTAATTTTTAGCGAAGTAAGAAAAATAGCAGTGCATAATCTGCCTAGATCGTCAATACTGTTTCGTCAATTTCTATATTATCACTAAAATGCAATATTTCAGAAATAATGTTAAAAAAACTATAATCAATGTAATTAAATATAAGTTGAAACCCACAAGCATGAGATATTATAATAAAATTTAATTAAAAAAATTAATAAAAGCAAAATAAGTTTTAAAATATCTGCATTAAATTATGAATTCATGCATTTTATAAAAAATTGTTTGATTTGAAAATGGTATTATATTCATAACATTAATTATTTTCTAATATTTAATAAAAAACTTTATGATATGATATAATTTTTAATCATGAGTTGTCTACGAATAACTTATAACAAAATAGTACAGTGAATTTGCTTCTTTTTTCTAATGCATTTTTCTATTTTCTTTGAAGAAACTTCTCAAAAGGTCTGTGTCATTAAACTCCAATTTTAATAATTTGTATTTTTTTTTTTTTTAAGTTACCGTTTTCAAAGATGAATTAAGTTGTTACTCGATCTATCTGTAATAAAAACAGACTTGGTGAATTAGAGCACAAGAGTGGAGGAATTCCAGCATATATGCAATGGCTTATAAGCAGCAGAATATACAGGAAATTATGGCATATGTATAGATTTATGTAACGAACGCAAAAAAAGTTTTAACAAATCTTTTTATGTCATTTCTTTATATAAATTTTCCTTTTTAATTTATGATTCAAAATTAAACATATTCACACATTTTATTATTTACACCAACCTTTTTATTCTAATTTTAGATTTAAGTATACAAAAATTAACATTTTAAGTTTTTTATTTAAACCAAGCCTTGAGGAGCAAAGAAATCTCTGAACCGATTTTTTTTTAATGGGTTACAAGAATTAGAATACCTTTTTGCATGTGACTTAAGAGTTCATCTGTACTTGTTGTTTGCAAGATTTCCCTAATTTTATTTCAGAAGCACTTTCATTTTGTGTCACTTGGATACTAGCTCTTTTCATAATTATGCTTTAGTAAAAGTAGTTTACAAATGGCCTGATGTCCAAGACCTGTTTTATCCCACCTCTTGGCAACGACCTTACATACACATACAAAGTGTCGCTCAAATGCTGTGCCAAACTTTTAGAGGAGTTGGAGAACATCAGGATTAAGAATTGCATAGAAACTCATGACTGGAAATTTCATTGCATGCTACTGGAGGCACTTTTCTATTATGAGCGCTTCAAGTGCCTTTGATTTGAAACTTTTGTTTACTAAGTATCATAATTTTATGTTTTCTTACAATTATTGTCAAAAATTGCATAAAAAAGGATCAGAAATAATCAGATCAGAACAAATATAATAGAACCAGATTAAGACATTTTTTTATATAGATTAAATTATCATTTCAAGGACACACGAGTAATATCTATATATTTTAATTTTATAACCGTCGATGACTAGCAATTTTTGGTTTACAACTACTAATGTTCAACTCTATAGCCTAGTCCAGAACCAATCCAGATGACAAGGAAACTCCTGGGCCCCCAGAGGTAAGATTTGTTATGGGAGCATGGAGGACTATTTCACTTGACAGATTTAAAGTTCATCAGTCACCATTTAGTACATAGGGAATCTTCGGTGGAGGGTGGATCAAACCCACAACCTCTTGGACATGGGCCCAGTGACACAAGTAATATATTCAAATACCCTTAGCAGAGTACCATGACATTTCTACTCATGGGTTTCTGTGCAAATCTTATTAATCCTTATGATGTGCCCTACTTCCTTAAGAACGCCGACCGGCCTATGTAGGGGGCAGGGAACTGTCCTTGCAACAGAAAGGTGCTGGGTTCGAGCCCCGGGCAAGGCATGGATGTTCTTTCCTTCTCTGTACTATCTGTCCTAACTGCGGGAGCGACGTTGGCCCACCTAATATGGTGCCCCTGTAAGAGAGGTCAACAAAATTGCCCAGTAGATGCCTGAATTGATGGATGTTAACACAGACGGGCATTAGAAGAAAAAAAAACTTCCTCAAGAACTTTGTCACAATGTTTATACAACACCCTGCATATATAATCAAATTCGACAAAAATTTCAGGTTTGGAATAATTTCCTATCAAAGTGCCTCCATTGCAGCAATCATTTCATCTTCGTAGAGTACCAAAAAAAGGGGGGGAAACACACACCATAAATGTTACATTTAAAACATTTTTAAAAAAATTTAATACCTTTAATTCTTGAATGGTATTGTGAAGTTTCCTTCTAGTCGACTCTTCCTCTAACAATCTAGATTCCAAGTTGGCTATTCTTCGGTCTTTCTCAGAGTTGGACTCTATTAGCTTTCTTTTTTCTTCAATCAATTGTCTTTTCTCTTCATTCAGATTTTTAATTACACTCTAAACAGAAAATAATGGAAATTCTGATTATGATTTACAGAATTCAAAACTGAAATATAAGTGTTTATCAAAAAAGTTATATTGAATATAATATTGTCCCCTTAATGCATTTTTTCCTTTTTTGAAAGTGGAAAAAAAAAACTTTTCTGTTTTTCATAAAGATTGGTAAAAATACTGCTTTATTAGTAAGCCAATTTCATACTTATTTTATTCTGTAAAGATCCGTTCCAGTTATTACTGGGTACCAAAAAGATGAAACACCATTAAAAGGGTTAAATTCAAGCTAGAGGGAAGAGACGGATCGAGGAACGATATTGGCGAGTGAATTTTTAGAACAGCGGGTGAAAAGAGAGGAGAGAGTCTTGGGCATATTGGACAGAAAAAGGTTCCCAAATGAAGTTTTGGCTGCAATTTCATCTAAATTTAAATACAATTAGTGCTTATAGCTCATTTATTACATAATATTTTTAAAAATAAAATAATTCATCATGTTTTGTCTGCACCAATTACCATAAGCGCATAAAGCCTATTTTTTGAAATTCGTTTCTGCGAATAAGTATCTTTTCTCCATCAACTTTGCTTTTTAATACATATCTTATTTGAACTAGTTCCTCTAACCTGAACTAATTAGGTATAATTAAAATGAAGTATGGCATTGTTCTACTGTTCAACTAAACGAATTAGTATAATTTTTCCATTAATTTTGCTTTTTATAACTAAGCTTATTTTTATAGTTCCTATCATTGAAATTAATTAAGCATCATTGACGTCAATAATAGTGAGGCTATTTTTTGTGCTTCTTCCAAACCAATTAATACTATTTTTATATTAATTTTGCTTTTCAGAATATAACTTTTTTTAATTTCAATTATTATTGAATTTAAATTATTTAGTTTGATAGAACATGTTTTAAAAGCATAAGTATAAATCAGGGGTGATTGTGACGCAAAGTGAAAAACCCTGTAAATTTTATGAGCTAAAAATCGATATCAAGATGTCAATTTATGTACCATACATATTTCATATATTCTTTTGAACTAATCTTTATATTTAAATTACTTAGTAGTAAAGAGTATCACACTCATAAAGTAACTAATTCAACAAAAACTTACTTCTTACAAGAATCGGAACATTGGATTTAAAAAACGCGAAAATATAAAACGAATATTAAATTTTTAAATCGTGTAAATACGAATCATTATGCATCATTTTTAGATAGAGCGAATAGCAATTGCAATGCGTAGTTTTTAAATAACGTATAAATACAAAAACCAATGTTTAGTATTACAACAGCATGAATAGGAATCAAAATATAAATAGGAAAAATCACAAGTCTTGTTTCCAGTTATAAGACAAGGGAATAATAATTCAAAAATCACGGAATTCCGGGGTACACCTGGATTAAATCCCCCATGATTTGTAATAAAAATAAAATTAAAAAGATTATGTGCTAAACACATTAAACTAAATATATTTTTGAATAAAATTAACAAAATTATAACAGTTTAATTAAATGTTTTAAAAAATTCAATACTGTAACATTCTTTAAAAACATATTTCGTCTTTCTAGAATAAAAAACATAATAAAAAAGGAATTTTTTGTATTATTTAAATATGCAATTTCTTCATGATTAAAAATTGAATTTAATGAAATATTTTTTATCAACTGTTTGAAATAAAATAAATGCTTAACGTAAAAATAAAACTCAGCTAAACATTTTTAGCATTATGAGTTCTGTGATTTCACACACTTAAATTATAATACAGAAATTAAAGTACTTACTTCTGAGGCATCTAGTTGAGTCTGAACAACTAATTTGTTACTGGTGAGGCTAGAAATATTTAGTCTCAAAGCGGATACTTCCTGATCATGGGCATTTAGGAAATCATTGTACTTCTTATTCAGTTCCTCTAATTTTGACGAAAGACATTCTTTTTCTTTTACAACCACCTCACATTCGTCTGACTTTTTCCTAAAATTAAAAAAAAGAAAGAAAAAAAAAGTGTTAGATTCTCATATTTCAAAAAAAAAAAAAAAAGTATTAAGTTTGCTCAAATAAATATTTGGGAAAGTGAATAGCATCAGAAAGATAAACAGTGTTATCATTTAGGGTATTAAAAGAAGATAAAAGGAGAGCAATGGCTACAACATTTACTAATTAACCAGTTCATATAAGAGCAATTTAAGCGAATGTAAAGACGTGCGAAGAAGGATGTTTTCAGTACAGAGCAACATGAAACAGTAAGACTTTTAATAGAAGAGGATTGCAATGTTCCTTCACTAAGTCAAAGTTTGCATAATTGTCACAAGATGACCATTCAGACTATGGTTGATTATTTAATAAATAATTCATTGGAGATCATGGCATTTGTTTGCCCTAGGTCTTGGTAGATCCAATATTAATGTAAACCATTAAGAAGTACTTTTATATTATTCGTTTACACCCTAAACACACCACAGCATTTTTTTTTTCCATTTAAGAGATAAAATTAAAAGGAATACCACTTTCACTTAATGACCTAATATCTTTAATTATACTTCAAACATGAAAAAAAAAATCACAGGAAGTTTTAAGTTTAAATTAATTCTTATAAATTTAAACCTAAATTAAATTTAATGCTTAGGATAAAGTTTCAAAGGGTTAAATTAATTAGGTTCAAATTTCAATGTAATCTCCTTTTAGCAAGAAACATTTTCCCCAGTATTTTGGAGAAAGTCACTACCACTGGATGTTCCAAAAAGTTCTCCTCATTAGTGAATGGTAGAGATGGATAATACCAATTTTAATGGTATCAGTTATGAAAACTTGATACCTTAAGTATCAGATACATATTAATCTTAGTTTTTAGATCTTAAATTTAAAAGTGAGGGTTAAAAAGTATTAATTGTGACCAACACTTGCAGGCCGATTTCACTGTCTTCACTTTTTCACAGCAGGATCCTCCTTAAAAATACACAGTTATTAATTTTTCTGGAGTATAGTGAAGTATCCTTGTCATCTATTGTAATTTATATATGCAGAAATTTGTTGGAATTGCACCAAAAAAGTTATTAAACAACCTTGGAATGATTCAAGACAGGCATCTTTCTAAAAAGTTTTTCCCACTCAATTTTTCATGGAAAATGGAAAGTATTGGTAATTAATTTACTTTATTTTTTTTTAAAAATTTTACGATAAAACTAAAAAGAAAATGTTCTCTGTTTAAAATTCTAAAAAAAACCTCTAATATTCGAGAGATAGATATAACATCTGCTAATAATACTAAATAAATATTGAATCTTATTTTGTATTATAATGGATTTGCTTTGATTGTTGTTTAAACAGTTTTCTTCAAAAAAATATTTTGTTCAAATTTATATTACTCTATAAAATGTGTATATTTTATTTTGCGTTTTCATTCTGTACGCACTACATTTTTTTTGGTAAGAATTCATATCCCCCATATTTATGTAACATATATATATACATATTGATAAATTAATCATTAGGAAAAATGAAAAAAGTTTTTTTTTAAAGTATGTTTTTTTGTTTTTAAATAAATTTATATAATTAAAAGTATTTAATTTCATGCAAATATGTTATTAGGTTAACTGATAAAAAAATTTAGTGCTTAGGACACTAATGTTTTTATAGAAATTATCATATTTGCTGCTAACATAACTAAAAATGAAAATGGCCCATCGTTAATCAACCGGCCGTACGAGTGGCCCTCTACTCAAAAATATTATGCACCCCTAAATTAAAGTTTGTTTCCTCCAATCTGTATAACAATGAAACTGAATGTGTAAAATTGAATTTTAATAGTCTTATGAGAAATTACACTTTCTGAAAACAAGACTTTTTTTAACATGAGTATCAACGTTTGGATTTTCTAAGACTTATGTATGACCCTCATACTACAACAAATTTTTTTTTAAAAAAAGTATAACAATCAAATGTTATGCAATACTAGCAATAGTTATGAATACCATAAATATGAAATATCTGCACAAATATAATTATATACCAATTATTAAAGGAAGTGGAAAATAATTGTATTTATAATTACTTCAACTTTTTCTGTAACTCTGATATTTGCACCATAGCTTCTTCTGACTCACAGGACTTTATCTGAACATCTTTGTTCAAGAGAGAGTTGTCACTTTCAAGAGCAGCAATACGTTGGTTATTGATGGCAAGCTGTTCGAGTAGAGTAGTATTTTGCTTCTGTGTTTCCTTAAATGTTTCTTCCATATCTTGTATGCGACCTTTTAGATCCCATGGCTGCCTTTTAGGAGGCTTAGAGACAGTAACTGCCCTACTACTTTTTGCAAGATTTAAAGCTGGCATACTACCTCGCATTAGATTGCTGTCTGGAATCGGTTTTAGAGCTGCAAATAAATTATTAAATATAATACAAAAATGTTGAATGAAAATAAACATAGTAAAATGCAGAGTTATGTTTTTTTTTCAGGACACAGAAAAAAAAATTTGATGAAACTAAAAAGGATGACTAGTTGTTTACAAATTAAAAACAAGAATAGTTTTGATATAAAAAAAATTAATACAACAGTATCAGAAAATTATAAACTTGTACTTTTTATTTTAAAATTTTGTCAAAATCTATATATATCTAAGAAAAGAGTTGAGTGTTTATACTTAATATTTGATAATAAAAATAAGTATGCCATTCATATGTCATATAAGTATGCTATTTATATGTCAGTTGAATGTAATTGGCTATTTCGATCATGATTTATTAGGTTACTTTACATGATTTGTTACTTTAATTACATTTACAAAATTTGATTATAGTTAAACAGTTCTTTATATCAATACAAAATTAGGTTTTACTGCATTATTTTACATAAAACATTGAACAAAACCATATTTTTTTTTAATTTCTTAATTTTTTTTTCTGCCGATTTATGGCATTTTAGCTTATACATATTTAAAAATATGTATATATATATATATTTTTTTAATAAACAGTTTGGAAGCTAATTATAATATTTAAACTAGATTACAATTACAAATTGTTTCCACTAAAGAGGAATTTTGCCACTCCTTATAAATGAACAAATAATGTGAATACATAGTTATATACATATTATACCATTGGAAAAATAGAATTTTTATACCATTCTTTTTAGCAATGTCTGAGAAACCAGCATTTTTTATGAAAATTCTTGAACCAGATACAGCTCTCTTTTTATTGGAGGTCGTCGAAGAAACTTCAACTCTAAGTTTCTTTACGGCAGGTTGGTTACCTTGATTACCAGACTGAAATAACAAAAAAAATCGATTTTAGCTTTTTAAACAATCAAACAACTTATGCAAATTTAAACAAATACTTTTTGCTAAAAAATAAAACTTCATTGAATATGGAGGGGGGAAAAACATCTTCTGAGGAGGAAACAAAATTATCAATCTTTAATTGAGCTACCATTTGTCAGATATTACAGCAGAGCCTTGCTAATCCGAACTAATACTGTTACCGGTGTTGATGACAGGAATTTATATCATCAGAAATCTCAAATGTTAGTGGTGTTTCACACGTCTTTTGTTGGCGTAAAAGCAAAATTGTTTTAAAGCAGGGATGTTATGAATATTCGGTGGGCTAAATATTCGGTAAAGTATTACTTGGGAAATTATTTTTCGACTAAGTTTACTTTGAGGGGATATTTGAATAGATATAATAGAGAATAATCTGAAAGTGCACTTTTTACTATACATTATTAGAAATTATTTTTACACATATTTGTTAAGTTTTAAAATTTATTAAATTATGTTCTAAAAGATAAATGGAAAAGTGAAGAATTGAAACTAGATTACTTTATACTGAACCATGAATTTTGAATTGGTGATTTATGTTTTACAAATTGAGAACTTCTTTTTATGTCTTTTTTGCTGCATTAACTACAGTTTAGGATTTTAATGGAACATTTCTGATAGACTTAATTTTTTTATTGTCACTTTTTTTCTGTATGGTAAGACAGATAATCGGGAACAATGAAAACTGTGATTTTCAACATCAAAATTATAATTCAGAACTAAGAACAATTTTTTTTAATTCTGTTTCTCTTTAGCTTTCTTATTAACTTTTCTCTTTCTCAGCTATTTTTATTGAGACATCATTTCTGAAAGAGCGTATCTAATGAACGCTGCATGGTCACTTTAAAAAAAAAAAAAAAAAGATGGCAAGATTAAAAAGTTGAATTGATATTTTTAGCGTTAACTCTTTCATTTAAAAATTACGAAAGATTTTTGTTTTGTTTATATCTAGCTTTTGTCTTAAAAAACATTTGTTTTTATAAACATTTTTATTATGACATAGTAATTAAGAGGGTTTTTATTAGATTTCAAACTCAAATACAGTAATTAGAAAACTGAGATGTCTCGCTTTGAAAGTTTCTTTCAAAAATGAAGAAATGTTACTATTCGGCCAAATCACTATTCGTTACATTTCCATTTTAAAGATACAGCAAATTATGCTATTAGTTGACCCCTTTTTGACGTTTATCACCTATCTTAGCATGAACTAAACAAGATTATAAACAATTACAAACATTTAAAAAGGACTTTTTATGATGTTTTAATGCAAATTTAGAATACACATGTACAACTATAGAACTCGAGATGGGAATCTATTTTACTGCTGAATTTTACATGTTCTTCATTTTAAATGGAATCTATATTTTGTTTTTCTTTAATATTATTCCCAATGTGGTTATTTGTTTCAGTTACTTTATGAATATTTTTACCAGGGTTGGAGTTTTTGCCGGCAAAAAGGGGTTTTTGCCAGGACAGTGGCAAAAACCTGGTAAAAACCAAATTATCTAAATTGCTGATTAAATATTATTACAAAATACTTGAAACAAATTTAAATCAATCATAAGGAATAATAATTTTGATACATTACATGAAAAAATTATTTTTAACATATTAATAATTAATATACCTAAGGGTAATAATTTTTAAAAGATTGAAAGTTTTTGATCTCTTTTCATTTTAGAATCCTAAAATAAATGTTTTTTTACAAATAAATATTATTATTTGTATAATACTATTATTTATTATAAAAAATTATTATTCGTACAATAATTAACTACACATGTTGACAGATATTTTATGCTTTAAATTATATTTGTATTAATTTAAAATAAGTTCATTTCACTGGAAAAAAGAGAATAATCACAAATTTTCCAATCAATAATGTTTTAAACTACTAAAATGATACATTATCATTTAATTATGGAATAATACTTTTGTTAATTTTTTTGTAAATATTTATATTCATAGTATATACAGTACAGAACCCATTATCCGGAAATCAGAAAACCGGAAAACCAAGAAACCGGAACGAAATTCGATAAATATTCCCGTTATTTTAAAAAAAAAATTTTTTTTTTTCCTCTTAAGATTTTAGGATTTTTCTTTCTTTTTTGAAAGATGTTTACCTTACCATCATTTTGGAAATAATCATTAGTGTATTACTTCATCGTTTTTTCTTCTTTTTAAGATTATTTCCAAATATTTTTTTTTTTAGTTGAGTTTGACAACGAAAAAAACGGCTTTTTTTTGCAATTCAGAAAACCGGAAAAATCAGTTATCCGGAATAGCGATGGTCCCGATCGTTCCGGATAATCGGTTCCCTACTGTATTTCAATTTTAGGAATAATTTTGTATCAAAAATGTGTTTTTGTCCTCTCATCTTGGAAAATATAGGTTTTTGCCACTTTGCTTGGCAAAAACCTGTTTTTGCCAGGACGGTTTTTACCGGTATTTACCATGGTTTTTTCCACCTGCTGCAAAATCTTGCCAACCCTGATTTTTACTAAGATAATTTTCACTTATGACTATTAGGAGGTTAAATCTGCTTACAGGGGCCTGTCTAGGTTTTTCTGAGAGGTACCTATTTTGTGAAAATTTAGACATAATTTGTGAAAATTAAACATTATATTTAAAAATCAGCACAAAAATATGGATTTATTGTTTATTACTGGATACAAAATAAAAATTTTAAGAAAAAGTATTTTGTGAAACAACCGTTTTTCCGAATCTTGAATTTGTGAAGGTTCCGCTAAACGGTAGTAAATTTGGCCTGGACAGACCCCTGGCTTAGAATATCTGAAATTTGTAAGATTTCTACTGAAATCGAAAAAATAAAATAACTTCGAAACTGATACCTGATTTTCTACTGATCTTTTAACAGTTTGACTTCCTATAGGTCTTCTAAAAGCATTTTCATCTTGAATCTGTGAAGGTTGCTTGGTCAATCCTATATGTGGAATACGACTCATAATTGTATATATCTGAAAAAGAGAGTTAAAATGTCTATTATTCAGATATGAAAATAAATGGTTTGTTCTTTCAAAAATATCAGATTTCATTTAGATACATCCTACTAAAAAGATAAAATTTAATAATAAGAATTCTAACTTAGCAATCTATTTTCGAGGAAGATTGAGTATTGAAATTGCTGTTTTGTTAGGCATTATTATATTTAAAAAAATTTTAAATTTTATAAACATAAAAAAACTACTTAATAAAATTAAAATTAGTTCATTCAAAAGTTACTTTCATTATGAAACTTAATAATATTACATACATTTAAAACTTGCAACAGAAATTGTGTAATAAATATTAATGAGAAAAGTTGGCATGAAAGAAATATTTTTCAAGAAAATTCACAATTTCACGTTTACAATTCCCAGGGGTAGCAGCAAAGTTTTTTAAAATTTTAGGGTAATTTTAGGAACTTTTTTCAAAAAATTTTAGGTAAATTTTAGGGGCAGTATATGATTTTGCTAGGATAAAAACAGATCACACGGTAGTTAATTACATAACAGAAGATTATTACAATTCATCCACACATATCATAAATAATTGCAAGCCATAAAATAAAGCTCTGAAATTTATTAAGTCAAGAATGAAATCTCTAAAGTGTAAAAATGAAATTTCAACTTTACATATTACCTATCAGAAATTAAGTGCATAATTCAGGAACAGGCAAAAGTGAGAATAAATCAAGAGAAAAAATAAATTAACACCAACTTGGATTTTTATTTAATTTTTACCTTCTTAATCAAAACTTTATTATTACCCTTTTCCTTACTTTATTAAGAAAAACTATTGTGTGATATTATTAGATTTCAAATCAGCAATTTATATTAGAAGTTAGAGAAAAACAAATTAATCATGATCATTTTTCTAATATATTCTTGATATGATTTGTGAGATTCTTTTACTGCCCACAATAGTGTTGTGGTGATCTTCAACACTCCTCCATAATTTCGAATGGTATCTTCGATTAGTCTAAGAGACATAATAGTATTCTCATGGTGACTCACATTAAGCATTGCTTTATTTATCGAAAAACCTCTCTCAGGATCAGAATTCCCATGTGGCAAAATTAAAACAGTTTTAATTAATGTAGTTAAATTCTTATATTTTAGATTATTGCTTTTTTATTTATATTTAGCCTATAACTCTAATTTTTTAGGAACACCAACAAAATTTTATCAGATTTTTAGGAATTTTAGGGTTTGCACATACTTTTAGGAATTTTATGAATTTTAGGGGGAATGCGACCCCTGAATTCCTATCTTTTTCTGCATTTCTCTCCTCTGTAAAATTTTTGTGGAAGTACCCATAATTAATAGCTTCCTTCAATATCCTTTTCATTATATTAATAATATTGATATAGTTTAATTGATAAAGATGTATTGTAAATTACACAGATAATTAACACCTTAATAAAATATTATAGATTTAAATTAATTAATTAATGGTCCTGTTAAATTTTCATTAATAAATTGAATTGTTAATTAGATATAATTATAAGAGCAATACAGATTTTTAAAAAAATTACTAAAATATTAAATATATTTAAAAAATTATTAGAAAATGTCACCTCAATTTGAATATGAAATTCAAATTTAGTAATTTCTATCTTTTTAGTTAAATAATTGATAAATATTAAAAAAAAAAAAACTAAAAACTAAATTAGGAAATATATAGAAAAAATCATGAGAAAATGTTGACAAAACAATTTGAATATAAAATTCAAATTTAGTAATTTCAATATATTCTTAATCAAATAATTGACAAAAGAGATTCAATAACTTACAAGAAAATGGTTAGTGCCAAAATAATTATCAAAAGTAAATTGGCATGGCCCTTCAACTCACCATTTCGACAAATCTGTGCTTAGTGAATAGAAAAGAATTTCAATTGCTTTTTAAATAAAATATAATAAAGAGATTAGTCAAAGTAGGTACTTTATTTACGTCGCACTAGAGCGACATAAAGAACGAGCTAATGGTGATGGTCTGGGAAACATCCCTGAGGTTCATTCGAAGACATGCCATTGCAATTTCGATCCCCTGCAGAGGAGATAGCTCCCTTGCTTTTTTGGTAACTTGACGACCTGCGTGCAAATTCAAGCCCCTTATGGCAGAGCAGTTTAATGAGGACCAATGCCGCACACCTTCAGTCCCTACGCAGGCTGATCAAAGTGGCCACCCATCCGCTTACTGACCGCAGCCAGTTATGAACTAAGGTTTTCTATTGGGAACTGTGTCTTTATGATCAGTCCACTGCGGGACAGAGATTAATCAAACTTTTAAATCATAACCAGGGTTGGCAAGATTTTGCCGCAGGTGGAAAAAACCATGGTAAATACCGGTAAAAACCGTCCTGGCAAAAACAGGTTTTTGCCAAGTAAATTGGCAAAAACCTATATTTTCCAAGATGAGAGGACAAAAACACATTTTTGATACAAAATTATTCCTAAAATTGAAATATATAGGGGAGAGTTGGATAAAACGGGATAGTCGGACAAAACGGGATACGTCGCCTAGGGACTAGACTGTTGCAGCTATCTAGTGGACAACGACAGAAACGTGTTATTCGACCGTGATCATATCATTCTCGGTGCGTCCCGTCTCAAGATCACTATTCGATAGAAAGTTGTAGGTCTCAGAACTTTTTTATTCTATTTTCTTGCCATTTTCTACATTTACGTACGTTGTTTTTCACATTGTACTGCCTCTATATATGGGAATAAAATTCCGGTGAGTATTAAATTTGATTAACCATTTATTTACCAATATTTTTATGTGCAGTCTATTTAATTTTCTTTGCACATTTAGGCAGCAGCCATGTTTGTTTCAAAAAGTGTCGGAGTCGGACAAAACGGGACACTTATGAGTTGGATAAAACGGGATAGAGTTTTTTATGTCCCGTTTTATCCACCTTTTTATTTGTTGGATTATTACCTTTTAAAATAGCCATATATTAATGTAGGCCTAGGCTTTTTTAACAGCTTATTTATATTAGCCACATATATTTTTGAAAAATTTAGTCTCTTTATATAGTAATGCAAAATTTGTTTATTACCGTTTATTATTAAGCATTTTATTTTCGACTCTAGGATTTCACATCTTTCTTTAGAACTAATTGTAATGTATTTCTCTGATGAAGACTTGAGCTTTTTTAAATATAAACTTCTTAATTTTCTGGATTGCTCAATTCAATTTACATCCAATTCTAAAATGAATTCCTCTCTTTGTAACTGAAGAATTTAAATGCTTGATTATTAAAGAGTCTTTCAGGGATGTTACGAGATCAATGGAGTGAATTAAAAATAAAAGTGAATTAGAAATGGAAGAAAAGGAAAGGATTATTAAACTACAAAAAAAGAACCAAGAGAATTGAAGAAAAGGCTGCTAAGAAATCTCTATTAAGAGCACAAGGCACATCTCGAGAATGAAAATTGCAAAAATAAGCCTTCATGTTTGAAAACTCATAGTCTTTAAAAACAAATGTAGCATCATATTTTTTTGAGTACTTACTTATAAAACAACAATCTATATAAAAGTGTTAGAACAGTAAAATCCCATGAATATAATTTATAGAAATTTTGCTTTGCAGTTCTCTGTCAGTTAATTATGCTTTTCACTTAGTTTTATGCAAAAAATTAAACATTGTAAACCCTATCCCGTTTTATCCAACCCAGGTATGCTAAAACGGGATATGTAAGAGTTTGGAAATTAATTTTTTTTTCTATTTCACAGTCATTAAAATTAGTTTAAAATATGTTTTTTGTGTGCTTCAATAAATGCTGTAGCTACAAAAAAAATAATGTATGGTTTTCCTTAACAGATATTCCGTAGTAATTAAAAACAATAATGGTATCCCGTTTTATCCAACTCTCCCCTACTATGAATATAAATAATTACAAAAAAATTAACAAAATTATTATTCCATAATTAAATGATAATGTAATAATATATCATTTTAGTAGTTTAAAACATTATTGATTGGAAAATTTGTGATTATTCTCTTTTTTCCAGAGAAATGAACTTTTTTTAAATTAATATAACTATAATTTAAAGCATAAAATATCTATCAACATGTGTAGTTAACTATTGTACGAATAATAATTTTTTATAATAAATAATAATATTATACAAATAATATTTATTTATTTGTAAAAAAACATTTATTTTAGGATTCTAAAATGAAAAGAGATCAAAAACTTTCAATCTTTTAAAAATTATTACCCTTATATTAATTAGTAATATGCTAAAAATAATTTTTTCATGTAATGTATCAAAATTATTATTCCTTATGATTGAGTTAAATTTGTTTCAAGTATTTTGTAATAATATTTAATCAGCTGTTTAGATAATTTGGTTTTTACCGGTTTTTACCAGTTTTTGCCACTGTCCTGGCAAAAACCCCTTTTTGCCGGCAAAAATTCCAACCCTGATCATAACCATGAAAGAAATTTGACTATATTTTTATCATTATCACTGATGTAATTAAAATCATCTTAAATAAATAGTAAGAAGAGATCAGTTCAAACTTTTAAAACAGCTAATCATAATTTTAAGTTTTTCTGTAAATAACATCCTGTTTGGATTTGAACTAAGTTACATAAATTTTAACCTCAAAAATTTACAGCACCCTGTAAATAACGAAGGTTTATTCTCTCAATTCATTAACTTCTGCCTTATTATTAAGCAATACTTTTCATTAAAATATTTATTACTTAATAGTATGTTTTATTTAAAATATTCATGAGGAGTAAAAAAAAAAAATTATATACTTTCAAAAAAATAAAATAGACAAAATGTCATTCTGACCCATCTTTTAAACACACATATCTGTAAACTATCGGTAAGTAATTTACTACAACTGTAAGCAATATACTATTTGGGTTATTCTCACAAAAAGGTGATTTTTCTAGCCCCTTAGTTATAAATATTAGGAAATACAGCAGATTTCTTAATATTTTTCTTCATCATTTTTCGTAAAGTTCAAACTAATCAATCATATGCATTTCTGCTAAATGAATTTAATATTTCGTTCTTATTTTTTAAAAAACAAACATCAAAATCCCCTCCATGAACGTCCTTATGTCTGTGACACAAAATAATTATTAATGGCTGTTAAACAATTTAAATATTTTTTCAATCATCCATCAAAAATGAAGTCTTTGTTTTTTTTAAATTTGCAAGTTTAAAATCTATTTGGCATCTTGGCGATTGTAGGTGGTGCAACAGATCATGATATGGAAATATCCCTTTAGGGTCAATAAGCTTAATTTCAAATTTAAAAAAATCCGTGACTTTATTGAATAATTAGTGTTTCCCTAATTTTCTTTAAGAAATTGCAAGCAAGTAATTTATGACTTATTAATAGAAAATCTATTTATAGGTGTACTACAAAATATATTACAATACATACAATTGTTATGAATACTTTCTGTTATATGTTCCAAATACAGTTTAATTTAGAAAATCAAAATATTAGCTTTAAAGAAGAAATTTTTTTTTTATTTCTTTAAATTTTGTATCTTTATTTATTTTTTAAATTTGACATTTTTGTGTTCCCTTTTAACTCTTATAAAGTATTGAACGATTAGAATATTTGCACAATGCTTTAGTAGCAAATTATTTATAACAGAAGCACATCAACTATTAACATCATATGGAGGCATTTTTCAAAACTCAAGAATTAGGTTGAAACAAAATAGTGTTTAACGAATAATATAGTTTAATTGATAAAGATACACACATAACAAAATAGATTAATCGGAACTTACAGCACTTATTTTCAAAACATAAAGCACAGAACTTATTTCATATCACTATATTCAAATAAATACGTTAATGTTTACAGAAATAAAATCGGTTATATTCACCATTGAAATTCGCGGTTGGCGATAGAGATGCTATGCTTTCATTTGATTCGATAAAACTTTCAGCACAGGTTGACTTTTACTGTAACACTTGACGCAAAATCCTTTAAGGAATCATTTTTACTGCCCATAATTTGTTGCTTTTTCAGCATATGAATTCGAAAATTCACCAATCAGATTCGCATTTGCATCAAATGAGATCGGCCCTTAATGCCAATATATATGCAATGTAGAAGAGATTAAAATAATCTCTTTTAACTAATTAATTTAGTGACCAAATATTTTAAAATAAGTTTTGTTTAATATTCTATACCTTTTAAATAAATGTAATTGCAATTTTAAAATAAATTAAAGTATTTCTATTCAAAAAGAAATGTTGCTTGGCAACGAATTTTTTTGTGTACAACTAAACTCGGAGGAAAATATTAGCAGAAAAAGAACAAGAGAAAAATCGTGCATTGCGTTTGAAGAATCCGACATCAAGCATGTTAGCGGTAAAATAGTTTGTTATTTATATCATTTAATGTTAGAAATTAAATTGGTTCTTCTAATAACGTAACATCTTTTTGGATTGGATATGCTATTTTTCTTTTCAGTTAATGCATACGATCATTTGTTTACTCAATTCTAATTTGCCGGTAAAATGCATTGCAACATGAACAGTTACACTTTTTAAGAACAACAAAATGTTTATTCAATAAAATTTCTGATTTTTGTACAAAATAGGACCAATTGAACTTGATTACTGATTAATCTTCCTTTGTTTAATGTTTGAATTGAAGAGTCAAACAATAATAATAAAACATTTACTTTTAAAAACAAATATTCTCTAGTAGATTTAATTATCAATATGTTATCAGTTCTATGCTTATTTTACCTTTTCAATATTGTTCAGATAAAATTACGACATAATTTGAGTAAAAGGGTTTTGAACAGGACGGTTTAAACCGTGGATTAATCCATTCTGCCCTAAACCTTGCCAATCCTGATTTAAGTACTTTACTGAATTTATGTACTGTTTAAAATAATTAAAATTGAAACAAAACCCTTGTGGCACAAAATGAGATTCAACATTCAGTAGGGAATATACTTCAACTTTAAAACATTCATTTTAAATAAATAATAAAAAATTTTATTATAGTATTGAATGTATATAAATTTTTTAAAATACGTGGAGAAGCATAGTAATAACTGTTAATAAACTATCGATAATCACTTTGTATTTACGTCAAAAAAAGTACAAATAAAGTTCTTCAAAATGATATATATTTTTTAATCTGAGGTTCGAAATTTTAGGATCATAATAGGGTACTAAAAATATCTGGTCTTTCAAAACCATCTAGACATGCGTAGCAATAATTACCAAAATAATGATTCAAAAATAATTTGGCTTTGCGATAAATTGGCACAAATAGACCATGTCATACTTTTTTAATCTAAATAATTGCTTCGATACTTGAGATTCATAATATTGTGTTAAAAATATTGACATTTTAAAAATCGCTAGGAAATTCATAGTAATAACTGTTAAAAAAGGGATTAAAAATTATTTGAATTGGTAAGAAAGTTTGCAAAAATAAAGCATGTCAAAAAGTGTTTATTAAAATGCATGTTTATTAAAATACTTGCAAAATATATGTTATTGAAATTAAGTTTATTAAAAATATTTTAAGACGTGAAAGCGTATTTTAAAAAACATTTTAGAAATTATGTGGAAATGCGTAGCAGTAACTACCAAAAAATGATTGAAAATATCGAAGGCAGGGTTTAGGACAGAATGGATTATTTAAACCGTCCTGTCCAAAACCCTTTTACTCAAATTATGTCACAAATTTATCTAAATAATATTTAAGTGGTAAAATAAACATAGAACTAATAACATATTGATAATTAAATATAAAAGAGAATATTTGTTTTTAAAAGTATAATGTTTTATTAATATTGTTTGACTCTTCAATTTAAACAAAGGAAGATTAATCAGTAATCAAGTTCAATTGGTCCTCTCATTCAATAGTACATAACTGAAGTTTGGCCTTGCCATACAGGTTTATTTATCTATAGTACTATTCAAGAATACTTTTATTTCATTCATGTTCAATTCTTTTAGCATAGTGGTGATACATCACCAGTGTCAGTAACTGAAACTGATGTTATGCCCTTCAAAACTGTTAATACATTTTTCAGATATTTTGTTTTTTCAATTTAAACTAATATATTTATATTTAAAAACAATTTTTTTTTTTAAATAGATGTCTTTTTTATCATCCTGTAATGCAGAAATTATGAAATTTTTTTAAAAAAAATATTGTGAAAAATAAAAGGATAATTTTTGAACAAATTTAGTATTTTTTTTAAGAAAAATTATTATTTTTTAATATTGCCATATTTATCCTTTTGCAAAAATATTATTTATCAGTATTAAAAGCATATTTACATTTAAAGGTATTCACTTTTGTGGAGCTTCAAAAATTATAAACCTTTTCCTATTATATTATATTATTTTCTTTTAATAAGTTATAGTAAATTGTATAAAAAATATCAAATATTTATTGATACATGTAATTATTGTGTGTACAATGGTTACACCTATAGAATTTTTACATTTTACCAAAGTTCAAGGTTTTGGACACTTTTAAACAGTTTAGGACAGTTTTACCCAGTTTAAGACAGTAAAACCCACGTGTCCTGTCCAAAACCTGTTTAGGACTTCCAGAACCCCAACCCTGATCGAAAGCATATGAAACATATTGAAAATTGTAGTTTATATGAAACATATTGAAAATGCTATTTAACTTATTATTTAGCAATTATTAAACAGTAAATAAGTTCTATTTACTTTTATAATAATTTTCATATAAAAAAAATTCTGGTCAAAATTCGATATTAAAATAACTAGTACAAACTTGTTATAGGAATTCTCTTTGCGTAATAATACTAAACAATCTGTTTGAAGATAAATGCTTTAATTATTTTACTGTAACAATTTGAAGCTGAATTGAAAAAACAAAATTGTGAATCAAGTTGCAATGGTAACCCAACAAAAGTTTGAATTTTATCCCAATAAACTTTGGAACTAAATCTATGTTAATGCAATAAAAAATTCTTTTGTAACTATTTGTTTGTCATTAGAAGGATGGTTTTAATTTAATATTTTTTCTTAATGTTTTTTTGTTCCATTTATTTATATGATTAGATGCTGCATGACTCATAAATAATTCATGTGGTACTCTTTGAAAGTTTTTCAATTAAGATTTTTACTAGTTGCCAAGATTGCCTTGCTTCATATTTTTCAAAAATGCAATCAGATTTTTGTTATATTTAGGAAACTGCAGCAAAGGCACAGGAAGTGCGAGATGTCACTCGAATTGAAAGAATTGGAGCCCATTCACATATTAGAGGGCTTGGTTTAGATGATACATTAGATCCTAGAGCAGTAAGTAATGGTGTTTTTATTACAAGAGTACTAAACCTAAACAAACACTGGAAATCTGTATGATCATTTTGTATTAAACCATTGCTAAATTTAGTGTTACTGGTTTTAATAAGCACTGTTTTGTAAAAGCTAATTTTTATTTTTGAGACCGATAAATAGTAAGTTTAGTTACAAACTTAAATTTGTAACTATTCAAAGATTTTTAAAAAAATATTTTCTAAGTAAATATTCTTTTGAAATTTGTAATTAGTGTTTTTACAAAAAGTGTTGTAATACTCTTATTTTAATCGAAAAATATGTTTCATATTTATTGCTTTGGTTTTATCATTTGATTTGTGTACTTTTGTGGTTTTATTTTTGCAACATGCTGATGAGTTTTTATGTAGTCAGTCTTTATTTTTAATGAAGATAAAATTAATATCATAAACAGTGTTCAAAATCATAAATGGTCTGATTATTCATAACTATTAAAACCTAACTGTGGCATTAAGAAAACTCTAAATGGTTTTGATATCATGAGATACCTCATTCACTTTGATTTCGAATAGGATAAAATAAAAAATATAACTATTAAAACTAAGGTAAAATGTTACATTTAGGTTAGCATAGTCCAAGGATAGGACACAATGGACTTATTGTTGTAAATGGTATTTAACAGTCCTTTCCTTTAATTCTGAAATTAGTTGAAGCATTTATAACAATAATTGTATATGAAAAATATCTACCCTTTTTTAATAATATTTCATTTTAAATATTGATTCAGTACAAATTAAAATCCTGCACTGCGTTTCATTTTTAAGATAATTCTGATAAATTTAAAAAAATTATTTTAGGAGATATATTGAATAAACGATAATTATAAAACTTAAAAAAGAAAAAAATTTTCAAAGCTTGGGTCGACATTTCATAATAGTTTTTTGTGTTACAGTTCATTTTTCATATCTTGATATTTTTCTATTATCCAATTTAAAAGTTATGTGTGGACAGTAGAATACTTTTTCAATTTATTTGTAGGTATCTCAAGGTATGGTTGGCCAGGTTGCTGCAAGACGAGCAGCTGGAATCATTCTTGAGATGATTAAAGAAGGCAAAATTGCAGGAAGAGCTGTTCTCATTGCTGGAGAACCTGGCACTGGCAAAACTGCAATTGCTATGGGTAATATACCTTGAAACTTATACTTTTGTTCAATGTTATAATTCTATAAGTATTCGTAATGTCAATCATTTAAAATTTCAGTTCATGTGACTAGTAATAGCTGACAGTTCATAGTTTTTTTAATAATGATTTTAAAATTTGGTCAGATCATTGATTTCTGCACCATTAATGAGTTAACATTTATTACTGCTAGATCAAAGTTTTCTTCAAATTTATCATCTGGAAAAATTGGATCTGCTGCTTTTCTGATTTCCTCCTTTCACCTTGTTTGGGGTCATGTGAAGTCATATTAATAATACCAGTCTGAGATTATTAATATGATTGTGATTGTCTGTTGTTTGGGCTATATGACCAGCCTATTGCTATTTTGAGCATTGGATTATTATCGGAATGTATGTATTTACAGAGCATTCATAAAATAATTTCCCCTATATATGATTATATATTGGCCTATCAACTTAACCCAATCAAAAGAAAGTTTCATAGTGTTATTTAGCAGAATAGGCTATAAATAATTTTAATTATAGAGCTCTTACAGTTATACTGTTAACAAATTTCAAAATTTTGAGTTTCTGTACCCATTTTATTTTTTATTATTCAAATGATTTCTTTACTATAAGAAATATAAGGCTACAATTGGTATCATCTTTTTAGTGTAAAAAACACCAGCATTGGGGGGGGGGGTAATAGCCTTCTGATATGGAATGGTTAAATAGCAATGGTTCATATGCTGTTTTTTGCTCTCTTTATCTCTATTATTACCATCAATTCTCATGTTAAAAATATCGTTCTAACTCCATTTTATGTTTTTTATTTTGAGAATCAGGTTTTGATGAAATAAGTCAATGTTGCCATTTAATTTGTTCACTCTAACTATGATACCATTCTGGTTTTGAGTCCTCAGCATCTCAAATTATACTTTCTAATAACACCGTCTGGAATTTTATTTGTATTGGTTTTTGTATTGTGTATTGGTTATTTGTATTATAAATTTGTATTGGCTACCTGGGGTTTATATGTAGGAGTTATTTTATAGCTGACTTGTATATATATATTATTTTGTTTATTTTTTTTCCCCCAAGCAGTCTGTTTGAGAGCAGTCTACTCCTTATTGGGATCAAGTTTTTTCACCTCTTTTTTTTATAGAACAACCTCAACAAAGTTATCATTGTCCAACTAAAAATGCATTTTTTGAATTATTGCCTTTAAAGGGATACATAAATAAAGGTTCACTTTTTCAGAATATACTCTTTAAAAACTTTTTGTTAAGTAATGGTGCTACTCATTTTTTTTAAAGGTTTCATAACTATATTTAAAAATTATCATTATAGTTATTTGTATATAAATGTAGCATTAATAATAGATTGTAATTTTATTAGGAATGGCTCAAGCTCTTGGCATGGATACACCTTTTACAGTCATATCAGGAAGTGAAATATTTTCTCTTGAAATGTCCAAAACTGAAGCTTTGACCCAAGCTTTTAGAAAATCTATTGGTGTAAGAATTCAGTAAGTAATAATTGATCAACTCTAATATGTCAATTATATAATGTGTTAATTTATAGGAAGTAAAAATAAAAAGTTAGTCAAGTAACTTGATGGATTCAGTAGTATTCCATTCTTTGCTGAATCCTCTCCAAGGCACATAGGTTGCATGGGCATGTTTTTTTCTTAACACCATGGCTCATGTTAAAATTTGAACCAAATTTTTTATTAGTTTCAAAACACTTCACACGAGAGCTCATGTCTCCTCGTTAATATACTTTTTTGTCAAATGCCCAAGGCTTTTTTTTTTTTTTTTTTTCAAATTTCAAGAGTCTAAATGACCTTAGGGCACATTAACATAGTCTCTTCTGTCCAAGCTCCTTGATTTTAACTTTCTGTATGAACATTTCAAAAATTTTAGTCTCAATAGTTAAACCCAATATGTTCCATTAAGGTACTTATTGGGGAACTTGCTTCAATATTGGCTTTTTCAATTTCCTAGTTATTCTTCCTAGGTTTTCTTTCACAGCAGCTTCCTTTATATCGAAAGATAATAAGATGAGGCTTCTTTAAACATGGTTTTTCCTAAGTCTTTTTGCTCATACTGGCTGCGGTTCTTTTGGATTCAACTTGAAGAAGTAAATTGGAATGGCTACCTTTGCCGCAGCACTCCACGGCTTAATTCATATCATAGTAAGCTAAATTCAACTTTTTTTAAATGGGATAGCCACAAAAGACAGGAAAATTGTGGAATTTTATGAATCTTAAAAAGATCAGAAGACTTAATTAAACTATCCAAGCAGTCAGATGAAATGAATTATATTGAATTTTATGTACTTGATCATTATTATCATATTTTTATGTGATAATTTTTTTTAAAGAAAAGTTTAATTACCTCTCTGTCATATTTTAAGACTAAGGCATAACTGAAAAATCTGTAATGAATATCATGCCATTAATTACAAACATTTTTTCAATGTGTATTTGTACTTGCTTTGTATATGATGCTTTGTTTGAACTATTGTTTATGCTACATGTAATGTTGCTTATACACATAATGCTGCAATTATGAAAATGCAAGGAAATTTTCAATTCTATTTGAAAGTAATATGAATAAGCTACAAATGTATTATTTATCTTTTGCTTCTCTTCAAATTATAAAAATAATTAATGTAAATAAATTTGAACAAATAAGATTATTAAAAATTACTGTTATTCGGAAGGGGTAAAAATTTTAATAATACTGTATTAGATTAATGTGATGAGTTGTCAAAGTGTTTTTTGTTTGTTTACCTTTTTGATATTTGAAATTTTCTTTTCTTTTTTAGTTTATTTGCACTAATGTTTCGATCATTACGTCTCACAGCAAACACTGAAGCCAGTGTGTTATCTCATTATTAATACTTTCTCTTAATAAAATCTCAGTATTAATACTTAAGGCTGTTCAGGGGCCAGGTTAATGGGGGTTGGCGGATATATTTGGTTTTTTAGACCATAAGTTGTGCCCCCCTGAAAATATTGAGCTTATGTATAAACAATAATTGTAATGATGCTAAGAAGTATCGATATTTCATCACAATATCACAGGTGGTGTTTATACCTTTTTAATGTTAAATATTAAGAATATATTTCTATAATATGTCACTTGGTCGAATTTTTGTTTCTTAACATATATGTTTTATGTTTCAGAGAAGAAACTGAGATCATAGAAGGGGAAGTAGTAGAAATCCAAATTGACCGTCCAGTGTCCGGAACTGTGAGTTACATTTTTTCTAACGATCTGCAGTGCATTCTTATTTTATAAGATCTTGGTACATTACTGTTTCAGGGCTTCAAGTGCTGCGCACATTGCGCATTTTGCGCCAAACCGGTATATTTGCGCATTGCTGCGCAGAAACGGCATTTTATGTTAAATTTGCGCCGAATCTGCGCCAAAAAATTTTCGGGGACCAACTAAACATTGCCAAATTTTAATAGCATAAGAAATTTTTTTTTTCTCTTGTTGATTTCAACGTTATTGAGGTGCCATCGTCTTCGTCAATGGCAAGCTAATGACTTTCTTGCGCTATTCTATTTATAGATTAGTACCATGATCTTTGAATTAACTAGGGGACCATCCACTAAGTACATATTTTCATGTTGATCCTCAGAACAGTCAAGAATTACAAAGCTTCATAACTTCAAACTTTCCATCTCCCTTTTATTCATTTCATTTAATAAAGATAAGAATTAATTGAGTTTCATAACGTAAATTTTTTATCTGAGGGACCATCCACTAATTGCATATTGTTTTTAAACAATTATTTTACTTTATTACTTTTTTTTACTAATATTTTTTTTCTTACTTATTGCATTTTATTGTTGTATTATTACCTTCAAAATTTTCAGTGCTCTTATTTTGTTTTAGGAAATAACTTAATAATATTTAGAGGCAAGATTTTAAATAAGTATGAAGAGAGGGGGTTTCAATATTTTAAATGCAGCAAAAAATCTTATGTTTTTAAGATTTTTCATTCAAAAATACTTCAATTCATCTTTTAATGATTTGATTTAAAACAATTGATGTAAAAAATTTTAATTGTCACAGATTTGTTAAATATTATGAGTGTAGAGACAATATAATAATTTACTTCTGACAAATTTTTTTTAGCTTCAATACTCATTGTATTTGCATTTAAAAATTATTTAATTTTTTTTAATCATTTCATTAATGCAGTACTTTATAAGTAACCAATTTTAATAAAAATTTATTAGGGGCCATTCACTAATTTACATTTGTAATATAAATTTATTAAAGTTTTCTTAATTTGCTTAATTCTTTACATATTTTTATAAATTTGGTATGATCAATATTAATCTTGTTAATGTTTTGTTGAATATACTATTACAAATAACATTTATTTAAATTTTAAGAAAATTACACTCGATGACCTTAAATAATAGTTAAATTAATTACAGTTTTGAATTACCTTTTACAGAATTAAATAAAGTAATTATTAATTTAAAAAATAGTATGAGCCACTCAATGTTGAATTTATTAAATTTTTTTTTAATATTTCGGCAATATTAAATAAATTTTTAGGTCTTTTCCACACTGAAACACCATTGATTCACTTGCTGTATGATGAAATGGTGTTCCTAGTTAAAGCATTGTTAGGGCGTTTTTTTAAAGAGTTTTGGTTTTCATGTTTGTCAGGAAAGGACTTAAAATCATTGGATGTAGAAAACGCAGAAATTTGGCAAAATTCAAATTTAATAGATGTTGGACTAGATACCACAAAGGTGATGACATCCTTATCTTCTTCAGAAAAAAAATTATGTATTTAGGTGTCAGATCTTTTTACTTGGCATGCACAAAACATTTATTAAAAGCATTGCCTCTAAAAAATAGGTTACTGTGCCCTCTTAAAGTGTTGCATCCTGTAATGAGAATGGAAGAAACTTCTATTAAGTCAATAAGATATCTGGCAACAGTAACCCCATCCATTATAAAGCCTGGAGAGGCATCTTTGTTACTAGATGAAGGGACAAGGTTACATGGGGAACCAGAAAGTTATTCTTCTGATTCAAATGAATATGCACAGATTGATGTGTTTTGGAAAAACTATTTTGTGAAGAAAGATAATTTTGGGAATTGCAGAAATTTGGCAAAATTAAAATTTGATAGATGTTGGACTAGATACCACAAAGGTGATGACATCCTCATCTTCTTCAGAAAAAAAAATTATGTATTTAGGTGCAAGGTCTTTTTACTTGGCATGCGCAAAAAATCTATTAAAAGTATTGCCTCTTAAAAATAGATTACTGTACCATCTTAAAGTGTTGCATCCTGTAATGAGAATGGAAGAAACTTCTATTAAGTCAATAAGATATCTAACAAAAGTAACCCCATCCATTATAAAGCCTGGAGAGGCATCTTTGTTACTAGATGAAGGAGGGACAAGGTTACATGGGGAACCAGAAAGTTTTTCTTCTGATTCAAATGAATATGCACAGATTGATGTGTTTTGGAAAAACTATTTTGTGAAGAAAGATAATTTTGGGAAATATCAAATATCCTCTTATAACATAGCTCTTTTGTGCGTACCACATGGGAATGCCGATATTGAAAGAGGTTTAAGTGTGAACAAAAAGCTATTTGACAATAAGGCAAGTTTAAATTTGCATAGTGTGAATGGTTTGAGAGAAGTTGTGTCATATATCAACAAAATAGGGGTTTAAATAACTTTAAAGTTGACAAAGATATTATTAAAGTGGTTCGTGTAGCATTTAAAAATTATTCTGCTCGATTAGAGGTTGAGAAAAAAAGAAAGAAAAAAGCAAAAAACACTGAGACTGAGGAAAGCAGATTGAAAGCTGCTGAAATTGATTTGTAAAAAAAATTGAAGGCTTCTCGGGATCTCTTAGCCGCAGCTGAAAAAAATATTAAAGATGAGTAAAATAATAAAGACAGGTCGGTTATAGAAAGCGGACAGATCCTCTTATCTGAGGCTAAGTCGAGGATAGCAGAATATTTAACAGCATTGGAAGGTACCAAAAAGAAACTTAATTTGTTAATGCAGGGACCTTCAAAAAAGTGTAAAAAATACGATATCTTATTAATGAACAAAGTTAAAAATTCTTGTTATTAAATTCTTGTTTTAATTCTATTTATTAACTATGCTCTAAATCTTTGTTTTGCTGCTCCAAAATTGCTTTTTTGTTGCTCCAAAGATGCTCCAAAACCATGTTTTGCCACTTGAAGCCCTGTGTTTTCAAAATTGTTTATTCTACTGTAGATTAAAAATTGCCAACAATTTCAAAAAAAAAAAAATTTCAACTACATGTCAGACCATCTCACTTGAAATATTTGCTCAGTCAGCTGTAATTTTTATACTACACTTTATTTTAACACCAAATATTTTTTTTAAAACTTTGCTTAGCAGCTCCCTCTGTTGTCATACTTTATGACTAATTTTAAAGCTTTATTAGGAATAAAAATCAGGCTTCCTGAACAAAAACCGTGTTTCTTTTTGATTTAATTTTTAAATCATCAGCTATTTCAGGCCTGCAATATGACTGGAAGAATTTTATGGCTTGCTATTATCAGTAATATTAATTTCTTGTTAGTATAGTAAATTATCTGTAAAAAGAAAATACTTTTCTATTTTGCTTTCTCTGATAAATAAAAACTAATTAGGTTAGTTTGTTGAAATGCTCTATTATAAAATTTTGTGCTAAAATTGTAACACTGCTTACATTTTGCTCATTTTAACTTAACAACATTTTTATATATTATTTTGTAAACATTTCTTTAAATTTATAGGGATCAAAAGTTGGAAAGCTTACTTTGAAAAGTACAGATATGGAAACAACATATGACTTAGGACAAAAAATGATTGAAAGCTTGACAAAAGAAAAAGTACAAGCTGGGTAAATATCAAATTAGTTTACTTTCAATTTAGTATCCATATTGTTCAAGCGTCGACTAGTTTTCGCTCATACAAATCTACTTAATCACTTTTTACAAAAGTGCAAAACAGACATACAATTTTGTACAAAAATTAAATTTGAAGCAGAAAAAAATGTTATCCAAATTGAAGAGAATATGAGAATTGTCTAACTAATTTGCAACTACAGTACACTCTCGATTATCCGTGCGCAAATTATCCGTGCTCATTCCGGAGTCACTCAAAAAATATAAAGAGAAACATTTTCAAGATTAAAAAAATTGATTCATGTAGTAATAGCACTACCAAATTTTTGGAAGCAATATTCGTTATTGGATTGCAGTATATGGAATATCAACAGCATGGTATTCGTCTACGTTATCACGATTTTGGAGAAAGATCATACCGCTTGATGAACAATCCTCTTCAGATGTTCAAGAAAAATATGATAACAGTATTCTCGAACAAGTAAAAGAAATCTAAGGTTTCGAAATTCTTGATGAAGAAAATTTAGAAGATTGGTTTCAAAGTGATGCATGTGAGCCTGGCTTCTAGTATTTGACTGATGAAGACATCGTTATGTTGTTAAATCAAATAGTGATGATAGTAACTGATGCAGAAGATGTAGTAAATGAATGAAATACAATTTCTCATTCTGCTGCTCTGTGGAAACTTTATTAGATTATATGGGAGGATTTGATTACTGTGACATTACTGCGGTTCGTAAAATATGTGTATCGATGTATGGCGAAGATGCATTCATTACACATTTTTTAATAAGGAAAATTCCTAGTTTGATGTATACATGCAAATGTCAGTAATTTTTATATTTTTTGTGCTGATATTGAATTTTTCTTTAATAAAAGGAGTTTTCGGATTATCCGTGTTTTTCTATTGTCCGTGCGACCTGTCCCGGTGATTAACACGGATAATCGGGAGTGCACTGTATATGTCTTTTTCTATGAAGGAATCAATATTTCATTATATGCCTTAAGCTAACTTAAGACATGTTTCCTGTAGTTGCAATCAAATTCTCTTACAGATACCTTTTTTTTGGAATGGTTGAGTGCTTAGTGGAAAATGCTAATCAAACATATTGAAAAACTTATCTTTGAACTTGCAAAGAACTTTTATTAATTAAGAAAAAAATATTACTTAAACATCACATAACTTTTTAAAAAGAAAACATAATCTACTCTCCACAACATGAAACAGCTGTAGTAGCTCCTTACATTCATATATGTATAAATCTAATCTGTATCTGTCTCATATATACAAGAAAATATATATTTAATATCCAATCAAAAACACTTGCATATTGAGGGTGAAAGAAAACATAATAATAAACCACTCTTTAAATTATTTTTAAATGTTCGTAATAGAAAGAGAATATTAATAAAAGTTACTCATAATATGCTATGTAATATTACCTACTGATAAGATTTTTTTCTGTAACCTCTAAGTGCATAATTGGGAATTTACTATGATTAGAAAAAAAATTTGTAATTTTTTTTTAGTGAAGCTGAATTTTTTTCCTTCTTTATTTATGCCAGAGCAGATAAAATATGAGATCTAAATCGAAATATTATTAGACAGAACCTAATGGAAAGAGAGTACTGATAAATGTTATTAATTATATTCTATGTAGCATTACCTACTAATAAGATTTTTTTTCTGTAACCACGAAGTGGATAATTTGATACTAACTGTGATAAGAACAATTTTTAGTAATTTATTTTTAGCAAAACTGGATTTCTTTCTTTTTTATTTATGCCATGTTATTTTTCGCTTTTTGCAGTGATATAGTTTGCATTGACAAGGCAACTGGTAAAATTACAAAATTAGGCAGATCATTCACAAGAGCCAGAGACTATGATGCCACTGGAGCTCAAACAAAATTTGTTCAGTGCCCAGAAGGAGAACTCCAGAAAAGGAAGGAAGTTACTCATACAGTTACTTTGCATGAAATTGATGTAATGAATAGCAGAACTCAAGGTTTCTTAGCTTTATTTTCAGGTACTACTCTGATAATTTTTTAATTACTCTCAATAAAAATGTATTTTGGTGGCATTTAAATTTATACACATTTATGCTCTACTTTGGCTTGCCACATTTGTATTATCTTTGTGTATGACTCTTTTCTTATTTGCAACTCAGTTTTTTTTTTTTTTTTTTTTAAATTAGAGATTTAAGTTGGTTGTTATCATACAACACTTATAAAATGCATGTTACAGTCAAACTTGTTTAAATCCAGAACTTCGGGTTTGAGAAAATTTACTTTTCCAAGGAGGGTTGTTCATTAAATCTAAATCAGACAAAATAAAGAATAATTATAAAAGATATAATGTATGAGATGGAATTAGAAAATATTTGCAAATAGCTTATTTTTTATGATTTTTATTTACACTGATTAGAATAATGTTTTATTTAACTTTTTGTGCTTGTTCGGTATACGAAACATCTATTGATTGATTCCAGAAACATTTGTAATTTCGGACCAAACGCCATATTCCGATGTGGGTGACATGATAAATTAATTCTGTTCCATTGCTATCAGGAAATGGCAAACCAAACACGTGAACTACATTAGATGCTGATTCTGTTTAATACTTTGCATAATTTTGTTATTGTGGTAAGACATATAAGGAACTACATTGCTTATCATCCCAATATTTTGAAACAAATTGAAAAGGTAGTTCTTTTCAATTCAAGGCTCCTGAAATTTCCTAGAACAATCGTATATATATATTTTTTTTGACAGTTTAAATCAAATTATTTTCAATGATTTTTTTAAAAATCCTGTATTTATTCTGATATGTACTCATATAAACAGGGTTTTTTCTAGATTTATAACACTGTACATGCTTCAGTCTTTGGACTGATTGAAGGCTTAAAATAATTATTTTACCTAACATATTCCAGAAATATATTTAACATATTTTTATTTAAAGTAATTTTTGGAGGATTATTCACATTCTTATTTGAATTATATAATCAATTTTCTGTTGATGATTCTTCTTAATTAAAAAAGGAAAGAAAATTCATGGACATGTTGGCCTTAAAATTGAGAATTATTTTTTGTTCTAACTCCAAATATGAATCCAATGTTGTGTTGTAAGGTCACTGTCAATCAGCAAGTATTAGTCTTCTTTTTAAAAATAATAAGTTGAAAGAGAGTATTCCACTAGATCTTTAAAATGGGCTATTGGTGACAATCTGGAAAGCATTCATGAGGATGATTCAGAGACGTGCTGTCACAATTTTGATTCTCTATAGAAGAGGTGGCTTCTCCGTTATGGTAGTCCAACGACTTGCAAGTGAAGTCTTAGTGGGTAACGGGGGAATGAGTATTGGTGCTGCGCATCCTCTGTCCTTCGATGATGGTGCTGACTCTATCCTGTGATCAATGATCTACTGGGAACCATGTCTTATGGTTAGTCAAATGTTGCATGGAGTCACAATTGCGTTTTTTATTTTATAGATGAACTCTTAGTACTTGCTTTTTTTTTTTCTTAAAACATCATATTAATACTGATTATAGCATTTTATTCATAAGATAATTAGAAATAATAAATTTGAAATTAAACCCGTCCTTCTGCTCCCTTGAAAATTACGGGATGCGGTTTCGCCCTCTATTTCTCGTTCCCGTGCTGGAGTTTTCAGTAGTAACATGCCAATAAGAATAAAACTAATTCATTTCTTTTGCCCAGAAAACATTTTATTTCTCATTTTAAACGCCAGGTGGCAGTACCAGGGTATTTTTAAGGTAATTGAAGATAGTTAGTTTATTTTAAACTAGATGTCAGCACTAATCAAATGCGTGTGTAAAAAAAATAGGCATTTTTATGACCGTTTTCTTGAAAATTAGCTGATCGTTGAGGGGTTAAAGAGAAAAAATATGTGCCTCGTAAAAGAATTGGATTATAATAGTGTGCTATCCTTTTCTGACTGCATTTAACTATTTCTGAATGTTTATTATGTTGTATAAAAATCACAATTTATGGGAAGAAATTTGTTTATGTGATTCCTTTATTTAGGTGACACTGGAGAAATAAAAATTGAGGTGAGAGAGCAAATAAATTCCAAAGTAGCTGAATGGAGAGAAGAAGGCAAAGCTCAGATCATTCCTGGTGTATTGTTTATTGATGAAGTTCATATGCTGGACATTGAATGCTTTTCATACCTTAACAGAGCTCTTGAAAGCGATTTAGCTCCAATATTAATTATGGCTTCCAATAGAGGTATTACAAAAATAAGGGGAACTCAGTATGAGAGCCCACATGGTATACCTATTGATCTTTTGGATCGATCAGTAATTATCACCACTGCCCCATATGATGAAGACGATACAAAAAAGATTTTAAAAATAAGGTACGCTAAAACTTTGATTATTTTTATTCATTCGAATATGACTTCTATGAATATTAAATTTTCTATTCCATTATTTGCCTTTTTTTTAAATGTATTTTTATATTTTCATTTCTTTTTAAAATTTTTAATGTTTTAGTTATGTATTCAAAAAGTTATCATGCTCATACCTGCCAAGTCTCCTGTTTTTTAACGAAGATTACTGTATTTTAAGACTATCTCCTGTTTACCCGTATATTCTCAAATTTCTCTGTATTTGTTGAAGAAATTTTAAACAGAAAAATTTTGACGATAAAATATCCGCTGATGGCAAAGATACTTATCGTATTCCGTAACAGATGCTGTTATTGCCAGTACAGCAGTATATTGAGTGTTAATAGGTTATGTAAATATGAATAATGGTTTAAAAAAATCTTTTTTGGGTTAAGATTTATATACAATATATTTTACTTCTCTAAATGTAAGTACTTATATTATTTCCAATTTTGAATTTATATTTTTGACTTACATGATTCATGATGTATCAAAACTTTACTTGTAGCCTAAAAAATGGTGCTAGTAAAATCTGCATTATTTTAATTCTCCAATATTAGCAGATATGCATGCTAAACTAAAAAATTTTATCATACAATTTTTTTAAATGTTTTAGAATTTGTCTTTAATTTTCGCCAATTTTACTGAAGCTCTTATGCTTTCACATTATCTAATCCTGACCTAGCCCTTTTTATCAAGGCTCTATCTTTTAACTGACATGATAGGAATGCCACATATCTTTGACCTTGGTCGGACAACATGGGCTGTGCCTGAGTCCTCTCTGCAAACTTCATGTTAAAAATAACAAAAAGACTTGGATCTATTACAGATATGACTTTTACAAATGTTATTAACCCTCCAAGTTTTGAACCCCTGAGTAAAATAGTACACAAAATTTCCCTGCTATGCACTCTTCTCCTATTAAATAACATGGGTAACATTTTACATTTTTTGATGCAAAAAGCTTGTAGCTAAAAGTTTGGAAAATAGACGGCACTAAGTGTCAGAGGGTTAATGGAAAAAATATGTTACCTTACACTTTTTATGTTCCTTTAATTTAAAATTTGTATTTGTCATATTAAGAGAGAAAAAGAAAAGGCATGATTAATTTATTAAGAAAATTGATACAAATGTTATTAATTGAATACTGCTAATTAATCACATTAAATAATGCTCAAGTATAACATTTTCATATAAACTGTCACTCATTCTTTTTATATGTATACATAGTTGCCAACTCTACTGGATTTTTCCAGTAGACTACTTATTAGGAACTCTCTTTTTAAGTTAATTAAAAAAAATTTTTTTTAACTGTCTTTGATGAATTAACTACCTATTAATAGTCGAAATTATGAGTAAACGTAATACATTTCAAGTATGTTTAATGTCAATCGTAACAGGAAAATATTGCAGTTTTTCAATTTTGATGACGTTAAAAATCCCTAGAATTCCCTATGTGTTAAATATTTAGTACATTATTCACCAATTATCATGAAATTTATATTATTTCATAAAATCTACTGGATTTTTTCCTGTCCATGCTGGCAGCTCTGTATATTAATAATATAACATTTTGATATCAAATTTTTTTCTGTGTGTTAAGTTGAAATGTGAAGTAATGCATTTCAAAATTTTCAGCTATTTGATTTTATCATGTTAGCATTATTCTGTTTTTAAAATGATTTATTGTTAGAGTTTTTTTTTTTTTTTTACTCTGTAGAATTTAATAAATAAAGCATTATCTCTAACATTTTACATTTCAAAGAGATTTAATCCATTAAATATTTGTTTTTCTTATTTTGCTTAGGTGTGAAGAAGAGGATGTTGAAATGAGCCAAGATGCATTGCTTTGCCTTACCAAAATTGGTGTTGATACTTCATTGAGATATGCCATTCAGCTTATTACTGCTGCCAATTTAGTTTGCCAAAAAAGAAAAGTATGTTGCGCTGCATCTTTCATTCTAAAATTACTATATTCTAGATTTTATTTCATTCAAATAAAATTTTTGTTTTTAATTTTTTTTTATAGGGTACTGAAGTCAATACTGATGACTTAAGTAGGGTATATACTTTATTCTTAGATGAATCAAGATCTAGCGAGTATTTAAAAGAATACCAGAATGACTTTTTGTATAATACCATAGGTAAGTGTCTCAATTTTTTTTTATATATACCATCAAATCTATTTGAGTTGAACTTTATGAAGATTAATTATTAACTTTGGAATATGATGTTTTATACTTTTTGTTTTGTGTTTAAACTGTCCTTGATTAAAATCATTTCAATCTCTCCTCCACTCTTTCTGTTATGATTTTCCAATACTTTGAATTTTAAAATTTTTTGCATAGGTAAGAAATTTAAGCCCCCCATGAACAAAAATTAAAAAGTTATAGTATCATTTTTGAAAAGTTAAAATTCTGATCATTTCTAATTCTTTTGCTACTACTCGCTCTAGTTAAAATTACAAAAGATCTTGGCTTTTTTTTAAATAAATTTCCAATTAGTTTTAATGTCAATAAATGTCAAGTTTTTCATTTTTGAAGAAATTGAAACATTTTGTATTCTTACTGTTATTTAAAAGATAACAGAGCCAAGCAACTATGTCTTAAGTTATAAATACAGTTCTCATCAATTCTGCATGCTGGTTTGGTAAAGTGTCAGTTTTTTAATAAAATAGAAAGCAGTATTTTGTTAGAATTGCGATCGTGAAGGCTAAGTTGAGCAAAAGTGGAACAAGCAATCTTAATTGATGATGAAATGTATAAATTATTTTATTACTTGTATGCTACTTACTGTACAACTAAAAAAAGCAGCACAAATGCTTCACGATAGTTTTTGAGAAAAATATTTAAACATCCTTTTTATTTCTACTGCTGCAGCCATGAAGGCTAAAATCGAATTTCAAAAAACTAATAAAATGAAATTTTTGAAGAAAAAAAATTCTTGCAACAAATTCCTTATCACTCAAGAATGCTAATTGGCACTTGCGTTGATTTACCAATTAAGGCATATGTTGATTTGATAATATGTAAATAGATTGAGCTATTATTTATAATTTTTAACAGGTTAAAACATGAATATGGATAGTTAATTTTAAAGATATCATATGTCAAAATTATGTATATATATTTTTTGTTTACTTTGCGCCAAGTTTAGCAAAATTTCATAACAGTAGAAAGTGGTGGCAAAACTCACAATATTTCCAAAATAAAATTACTGATTTAATTATTTCCAAAATCATTATTTTAAAAATTAAATATCTATGTAAGTTTTAAAAATCAAACTGTTTTCCCTTTTTTACTAAATAAAGACCGACTGAGGAAATCATAATATAATACGTAGTAACAATCATAAGAAGTAGAATTATTAGTAAATTTCTGTATGTAATACTTTAGTTTGTACAAAAGAGGGGATCTGGAGGTTTTATTGAAAATATCACCATACAATGTAGATTTAATACAAGGCTCTATAGATCTATAGTTCTGTAATAGCAGCTGAAATGAATAGATGTTCATTTATGCATTCCTTTTTTTTTATCACCATTCAGTTTTATTATTTTACAGATTTTTAGATAATTCATTTTTCATTATGGGGCGCTTTAGGCAAAGGATACACAGAAAAAGACTTAATGTTTCATTTTTGAAAATTATTGAATTTTTAACTGCTTATCAAAGCAGAGCCTGTTTAAAATTAAGTTTTCTGAAGGATTGTTAATTAAACAATCTTATTTAATTGAAATGTGCTTAAGTGCTAAAAGTAGTATTTTTTTAAAAATAGTTTGAGATTGATTTTTATTCCTATATTTTGGCTTTTACAGAAACTGAAAAAGATGCTAAAGCTATGGATACCACATAAATTATGCTGTTATCTCTTTTCATATTTGTAACCTTCATTGCCATTATTTGTATATGATGTATCACTAATAAATATCTTTTATCACTGCAGACTTTTGTTTTTAATAATTCATATAAACAATTTTTATCTCTAAATTTAAACCAATATCGGAATCTCGAAATTGGTATCAATCAAAAATTTTAATTTACGGAAAAAGAAAAGAAAAAATTTCTATTATAATCGAACTCCGCTATAATGAACCATCTATAGACCCAGCCAATAACTCCACTATAACGAAAATCTTAGGCTCAGTGGTTACAACACTGAAATATCGTGAAGAACTGGGATTTGAATCCCACTTAAAAGTTTCAGTACTACCAAGTATTCACTGTATCTCAGTTTTATTATGGCGAGGTTAGACTATTAATAAGATGCTGGCTTGAAGTCAATAGTTTTTTTTTTTAACCATCATTTCTGATATCTTTAAATATGAAAAACTGTGTCTGCTTCTGAAGAAATCTTCAACTTAGCATTCCACTTTGATAATCTACTGCTATTGGATAATTTGTAACTCAACATCTTATTAAAAAACAATACTGATTAATGACTTATAATTTGTACGAGAATGATTTTAAGATGGATGTTCTTTTATAGCAATTATTTATAAGGCAAAAATATAACTCTATTAGAAGATTCATACTAATATTAATTACTATGTTTACTTTTTCATATTCTTTATTAAAAAAGTGAAATTATTAAATGTTTTTTTAATATATATATATATATATACAATGCTCAATAAATATTAAGATTTCCTCACAATTAGATAATTTTCCATCAAAACTTTAAGTTCTCCTAAGAGAGTTGATGATTCTTGGTTCTGCACCAGTAGTTCATTGCAACACTGTAGTTCTTCCCTAAAAATAATTCAAATAAATATTTTAATTATTTATTATTTTATTGCTAACACTAGTATATTTTATTTACTAACATAATATTATAACATTAGTAGTGCATTATTTTATTTACTAACATAATAATTTTGATGTAATGGTTTTAAATTTATTCATTAAGATGTTTTGATTTTATGCGTCGTAGATATGATTTAAATCACTTGTTTTTTTTGAAGAATTGAATTTTTTTTTTTTTTTGAAGTCCAAAATATTTTAATGCAGTTAAAAATTTAGCAAATTTTATGAGCCCTTGGATACTGGTTTAAACAATCAATAGGTCAGATCTTTGTTCATAGATTTTTTTTCTCGATTATAATCCATCATTAAAATGTCTATGCAAAAAATGTATAGGTGCAACAAATAGTCATTGAGCAACCCTAGAAAATCTCTTACTTGACATCGACGCGAAGGCTCCGGGAGAAAAAAATTGGTGAAAATGAAAAACTTGAAGCAGCAGCTTCACTACATTAAGGAGGAATTTATGTTTTTTTAACGAATCAATAATTGAAAAAGACAAGAAAAATAGCCCTTAAACAGCACATTCAATATACAATTTTTTTGTTTTTCTGATTCGCATTAGTTTGTATTTCAAAGACACACTACTGCCCTGGTAAAAAATTTAAAAAAAAAATTTTTTTTTGAGCTAAGTCAGGTTGAAGATAAACATTATTTTGTGCGTAGGCAACTTTTTCAGTTAGTCATTTTTGTTTACTAGCTGAATACTCGCTTTTCTTTTTGAAATAAAACCTTATAATCAATAAATCGGTAATGATCAACATTACAAAATTATGCACATAATTGAACGACATATGCGGACACAATTTAATTAAATAACTTAAAATACCATTTTTTTATTTTATTTATTGTTATTTCTTGCTCTTTTTGATGGAAAGTTCGTTTTCTCAAAATGAAGACTGACAATGTTCAGTATCATTCGGCATAATTCTTTTGCAAAAGACCAACTCCTGATTGTTAAATAATACCATAAGCAACAATTTTCACCAGTACTTATCCCGTTCGGTAGGCTGCAAAAAGCCTATTTATCCAGTACTCATATCGTGATACGTATATTAGTATAGTATATAGTAACCAGCACCAATTAACATAATATCAGTTATACCTATTTCCAATTTTTTTTCGGATTATTATTTTTAAATTGTAAATACGAAGGTAAAAATAGTTACTGCTGTAAATTGTTTTAAAAAATGTGATTTATGCCCAATATGAATACCTGAACTTAACACCTTCTTCCGAGGTGAGCAGCAGTTTTCCATTTGAAAGAAGAAAAAAAATATTCTTAATAATAAACAGCTATTATTAAAAATGCCAGTAATAACCCGTATTCCATAATTTAGCCAATTTGAAGTTCTTAAATCCTTCCGAATACTTTCTATTCCTAAAAAAGTATGTTTGAAAGAAATGTAAAAGTGCTTTAATATCGATTGCCAAATTTTGAAATCGAAAACAAATTCTGCAAGCAGTGTATTTGTGTTTTTCCCTACATTACATGCACAATTTATAAATTGTAAAAGATTAATTCTAATTTTTACATATTTCTTGAAGAAATTGTCAATTAAAGATAATTTATTGCATGTTTACTTACCAATAACTCAGCAGAGCATTGTGAAATTTTTCTAAGTCAAGAGCATTTCTTATTTCATCTAAAATTTGTTTCCAATATTTTTCAGACATGCATTCTTCAAAATCCACTTCCGTAGACGCGTTGAACTTTTTCTGGTCAAACCTGCAAAACATATTTCTAATGTATTAAGTGATATATATATATTACAGTCAGGTGGCTATGGATCAGTGGTCTTCTTCTTTTCGAATTGAGAACATGTCAGGTACGTACATAAAGGTAAAATCAACGTGAGGAGAAACATGACCAAATTAGTAAACTATCTGAAACCACTAGTTTGTGTTGTTTATAGTTATGCTTTTGGAAGATGTTTCTATAATATAAAGATAGTAAAAATTGAAATAATAAAATTTACAATTGAAATAAATATTCTAGTTATGCACTAAAGTGAAACATCAATTGGGAAAATAGCTAAATAATTTTTATTTGGTCGCGCGGAACAGCATCACTTTCGGTATCGATTGCCGAAAGGTACTGAGTGTGGTTAATCTATTTTTGATAGGGATAACTTCTCAAAATGTGTTTGCTTTATCTATAAATAATGTAAATTTTAGGAAGAAAAAAATAATAATAAATAAATGAATTTTAATTATTATAGATGTGGTATATACCTTTTAGTTTTGTGAATGATTTTGGATTAATACAGATTAATTATTTACTTTTACTTTACCTCGTAAGAAGAGCATGTATTAATCTAGTTTATTATAACAAAAACAATACTTACAAGGTATTCGTCTTCATTGAAATCTGTAAAACATTTTCAAAAAGAAATCTTTCCTGCTTAGAAATATCAAAGAATAACTTCCGCATTTCATGTTTCGTCACATCGCATATTTTTCTCCTTTTTTCCAAATGTTTAACTTCATAATCCCTGTATAGACCAAAATAAAATAAACTCAGTGTTTTGATAATAATGCTGTAACATCCATACACAACGGGTAAAAAAGCAAAACGCTTAACCACTTTTGATCAAATTATTATCATTTTGTTTTAGTTTATGCTTTAAAATGTATAAAAATATTTGTTGTTGTAGTTAATTTACGTCGCACTAGAGCTGCACGATGGAGTATTGGCGACGGTCTGGGAAACACCCCTGAGGATGATCCGATGATATGCCATCACAATTTTGATCCCCTGCAGAGGGGATGGCACCCCCGCTTCGGTAGCCCGAAGACCTACACGCGAAGTCGAGCACTTTACGGTTGAACAGTTTAACGAGGACCCATACCGCACACCCTCGGTCCCTACGCAGACTGATCCAAGTAGTCACCCACCCGCACACTGACCGTAGCCAGTGATGCTTGACTTCGGTGATCTGTTGGGAACCGTGTCTCAACGATCAGTCCACTGAGGGACAAAAAATATTTTTGCACTGTATGAAATTGAATAAAACTTTAAATCAGCTAAATGGATATCGCGAAATAATTTAAAAATACTTATTTATTAATAATTAATTATTTTTCAATTTAGAGTGTTTTAGAATTATATGTCCAATTTGCATAGTTTAACATAGTTTTTTATATATTATACTAATTTTCATTTTTTTTCTATCTATATAAATAAAGCAGAATTTATATATGTTGTATATGTTCCATATACCAATCCTCAACTCTTAACCGATTCACATCGAATTCGGCGTACATATGTTCGAAGACACGGCGGACCTGACTGTCTACTGAAACCAGTTCACACGCAGAAATCCTTTTCAGTAGGGCTTGCTAATTATTTTATAATATGAATAGTTTTCAAGCTTACTACTCTAATCAATAAAAAATTAGTTACACGTTTTTATGCATGATTTATCTTAGGTTTTTCAGTTGGGTTATCATACTGAATAGAGCCCCTGAATTAGACTATAGGAGTCTTAATACTGAAAATCATCGTTAGTAATTTTATGACGTATGGCGATAACGTCACCGATTTCGAAATGTCATATGAAACAGGAGCCCCTGAATTGGAGTATAGTATAGGATCCTTATATGAAACCACGCGTTTCTTTTATTGATACTTAGCTTTAAAAGTGTGTCTCTATAAACTTAAATAATCAAAACTCAACAAATAAAATAAAATTGAAGTTGTCCATTAAATCATAGGAGAATTGTGATAAATTCTGAATATCGGAGGTGTATTAATCTTTCACTTATTGAACTTCTACCCTAAACCTGATTAATTTTCGTAATAGATATAAATTGCAGTAAAAAAAGTTTTGTTTTAAAAAGCTAAATTAATAAGACCCATGATGCTTAACTTATTTTGGCAATAAGTACTGATCTTATTTTAATTGGAGTTTTTTAATAGGTACTAAATATAATATTGATACCATAAGTGTTGTAGCTTATATTTTGATAAATCTTATAGTATCAGTGGCCCCCATCCCCCCCAAGCTCTTCGGCGCATTCTTGGGCAAATTTTAAATTCCCCCCCAAACTATTCGTTTTATTTAGTGTAAAAATTCCCCCCCAAGCCTTAAGTGGGCTCATCGTGCGCCCACCTCCCACCCTGGTGGGGGCCCCTGTCTATACGGAATACAACCCTCTACCATTTCTAACCAAAAGTGCAAAGCACGACTTCAAAGATGGATTCTTTGAATGGATGGATCTTTACAGAGATATAACATTACTATCAAACATTGCCCTGGAGACATGGGTGCAAGTTGGAAAATAGGCCAAGACTGAAAATTTTTTGACTGAAATACCTAACATACACAATACCCCCTTGACATATGCAAACTATCTAAGAAAGCTTTACCATAATACATCAAGTTTAAATACTGTACAAAAAATATTTATTCATCTGTCTTTTGATAAAATAACAACAGGACATACGAAAGTAGACCAATAACGTAGACCTAAAAAATATTTTTAAGGACAGAAAAAAAAA